GTCTGACCTCTTGGCCACTGGGGTCAGCTTGATGGGGCACAACGGAGCTCCCCTTGGGGTGACGGCCATTACCTGTTCCTCACTGCCCTCATATGAGTGTGTCCAGGTGGGTGGGCACTGTCCCTGGACGTGCAACTGACTCAGCTCTGTGACCCCCCAGGGGACACATGCTGGATGGTCACTGGGGCTGCAGGCTGCTTGGGCCCCAATCAGAACCTGCCGGCCTCTCACCCTGGAGCCTGCTGTGGCCTCCTGTTAGCCCCATTCCTGCCTCGTGGCTCCACCAGGCTCAGGAAGCTGGAAATCGTCCATCCAGGGTGGTCCTGGGCCTGTCACCTCTTGAGCCTTGGGGTCCTTCTTATGTAGCAGGATGACCCTGTTACAGCTGGGAGGACCTGTTCCCAAGTGCTGCTCGAGGCCACCTCGGCCAAATCAGTAGGACCTTGTGTCTCCCTCAGGCCATCCCCAACTTCTTCCCCACACCAGGCGTGCAGCCCCCTGAGCACCCTGCCCTCGAGGATAGGCCCAGAGGGTGGGGAGTCTGCCCCAGGCCCGGCTGCCGGCTTCCAGCTTGGTCTTGGGACATGTCCTGGCAGTCGTGCAGGCTCCCTGTTCCTGGGGCTGCTTGGCCTAGGGCGGGCCTGGCGCCAAACACCCAAGGGAGCAGCTCCTCACTTCTGGGGCTAAGCCAGTTTGCAGTGGGCCCTCCACCCCAGGGGGCTGGACGTGATAGGGGTCAGAGCCACCTGGTCAGTGAATTCAAATGTAGATTCCTGGGTCCATCCCAGATAGTCTAATTCAGGAGGTTGGAGATGGGGCCCTGGACTCTGGATTGTTAACAGGACCCTGTGGTGATTGTGGCCGACATTCTCCCAGCTTTGGAAACCACCTGCCCCTGTGATTCCGGGTTCTCTTGCAGGATCACAGGGACCCAGGTGGTTGGGACAGGACCCCTCAGATCAGGCAATGCCAACCCAGATAGCCCCGGGCCACCAATGCGCACGGGATGTGTTTGCCACTCACGAGCCATGACCCGCTGGCTTCACCTGTTCTTCCACTGGCTGCCTGGCATCCCTGACCCCCAGCCCCAGGCTGCCACCCAGGGTCCCATTCTCCCCCTCCCACCCTGCTTTGGAGTTCTGTCTCCACCCTCTAGCTGCCAGCCTGCTGCTTCCAGCTGCCCTGGTCATGTGTCCTCACTGACAGGCTGGGTCTTCCCATCTACCAGCCCCTGTATCCCACCTGCTGTGTGAGCCCACCCTGCCCTCAGCTCCCTAGGGTCTCTTGTTTCCACCTCCAGCGTCCCCAGGCCCTGCCGTTTCTGCAGAGCCCTGCCTGCAGCCTAGTGTGCCGGCCATCACCCGGATTCGGAGGGAGGAGTGATAGTTTAGTGTTGGCTGTCTGGGTGGAATGAAACCAGGGTTTGTGTCTGCTGACTCTCAGGCCTGGAACTTTCCTTGGTAAATGTGGACTGTAGAGTGTCATCAAAACAGAAGAGCAAGTCTGTGTCAGTGTCCAGTTGAAGAGAGGTCAAGCAATGAGGCCTGGCAGAGTCCTGGGTGCCGGCCTGTCCATGCCCACACCTGCCTGGTGAGGACAGAGGTGCCCAGAGGTGCTTGGTTCTGCATCTATAACCGTAGCAACAATGCTGTCCAGAAAAGGTACAGCACCTGGTGGCAGCCAGGCTGGTGGCCAGAGTCGGTGACTGTGCTGGGTGTTGCCAGCTCAGGTGACCTTGGACAGTCATACAACCTCTCTGTGCCTCAGTTTCCCCTCAGTAATGGCTGACTGTGACTGTGGCCTCTGAAATTGGCATTCTTAGCTCATTGCCACTCGGCTGTCAGCAACGGTGACTCTCCACCCTGTCCCTAGAGTCTGTGGCCCTTCCTTCTAGTGTCACCTGCTCTTCATGAGGAGTCAGGCTTTCAGGGAAAGGTGGGCCTGGTGGGCTAGTCTCTCTGGGGCACTGTTTCCCTACCCCCCTTTGCACAGAACACCCGGGAGGAGGGCAGTCACCTCTCCTGAACTCCCTGCCGCGCCCCGCAATGGGGAGATGGAGAGCTGTCATTGTTTAGATTCTTGGAGACAGGATATCCGATGAGAATCTTTCCTGAACTCGGCCTGCTGCTTCCTCCTCCTCACACACAGACTTCTGGAAGGTTCTGGACTCCATGGGCACATCTGCGCTGGACTCGCCGAGGGGCCATGGTCCTGGCTGCGTGGGACTCCAGGTTCAGAGAGGCTGTGTTTGCAACATGGATACCTTGGGCAAGACTGGGCCCCGTGCCCAGGACCTGACCTCCCTGGTTTTGAGGTGCACCCCTTCCCCTTGGCTCAGTGAGCTGGAGATGCGTCCCTTGCAGGGGCATACACTCCCCAGAGCCTCCCCACCCACGTCACACTCAGTGAGCAGGAGGTGCAGGGAAGCTGGCACAGCTCCCCCAGGACAGCACACTTCTGGGCACTAGCTGGGGGGGAACATGGCCCACACAGCAGGGTCCTGGCAATTTTTTCCACAGGGAGCTTCCACATGGGGTTAAAAATGTTCCACCAGAGGGTGGCCCTTGGCTCTGTAGCTAGACCAGTACTCCAGCAGCTTCGCCTGGGTGCTTTTTGGTCTCGCTTTGGCTGCTTTGCAGCAGTGACCAGATCAAACCCTTCCTATAGTGAGCACCCAAACCTCTCATCTTCACCCCGGAAGTCATGCTTGATTCAGAGCTGTCAATTTGGAAAGCACAATAATTAGGGCAGGAAGAAGGAGATTCTCAGTTGGTGTTACCATCACCAGAGGGAAAATGTATTGCTTAGTTGTTAAACTCCCAGTGTTTTGCCCCCAAGACCTCTTTAAATTTCTAAAAAGCAGAGATGTCACTTTTATGGACTAAGGTGCCCCTGACCCAAGCCGTGGTCTTTTCAATCACCTCATATGCATGTGAAATCTGGACAATGCAAAAGGAGGACAGAAGCAGAATTAATGCCTTAGAATTGCGGTGTTGGCGAAGAATATTGAATATACCATGGACTACCAGAAGAACGAACAAATCGGTCTTAGAAGAAATACAACCAAAATGTTCCTTGGAAGCAAGGATGGTGAGATTTTGACTCACTTTGGACATGTCATTAGGAAAGACCAATTTGATAGAAAAGGACATCGTGTTTGGTGAAGTAGAGGGTCAGCAAAATGAGGG